AAGTAATGACTCTACTAACGTAACTACATTTTTCAGTAGTAGTAGCTTGATAGTAGCTCAGCTACTTTTAAAACAATGTAGCTTTTCCAGTAGCTAAGTTTCTATGTAGCGCGACAATAGCTACATTCTATTTTGTGAACTTGCAATAGACTGAAACAGCGCCAGCGTCTTATCTTACAAGATCAGTGTTGGGGAGTATCTAGCTACAAGTAACGACTCTACTAACGTAACTACATTTTTCAGTAGTTTGACAGTAGCTCAGATATATATATATATATATATATACACTGAACAAAATTATAAACGCAACACGTTACATATTTTATTTATATTGTATTCTATATTTATTAGCTTTATTTCAATTAATGAAAACAATTTAATAGTTTTGGTTATAAATATTTACATATTTTATAAATATTCAGTTCACATATAAATACATATAAAAAGGGAAGGTAAAGTGAAGTAGTACATTGATTTATTTAGATTTATATTGATGATAAATTATATAGTAGATTTATTTAGATTTACTTCCTCCCTCCCTCCCTTCCTTCCCCACATCATTTTCCCTAAACAACCAGGCAATCTCAACAGAACATGAAAACATGAGGGTTAAACTAAGGGACACTGAAATAAACTGAAAAGTGGTGGCGACACATTTTAAACCAGCTTGGCTCATGAATATTAAACAGGTGATGTAACTTTTGCCCAGTAGTGATTTGTTGAATGGCAGTAAAGTGGGTGTTAGCTATAGGAGGATTACCGCTTATCGCTTGCACGTACGTTCATTCAGTCCACTGCTGATGCAACTGGATGGCAGAAGCTTCTTCTTGGTCTTAAACTCACTGCTTTCCATGACTAGCTACATTCTTTTTGTCATCACAACATGGCAAAGTTAAAATAAATTCTCAAAAATATACATTTTTAGAAGTGGGCCTAGATTGTTTTGTCAGGGCGGCATGATTAGTCTACTGTGTGTCATAAATAAAAACACGACACTTCAGATAATCAGGTTGTGTATCTGTACAACAACACTCGCATACATCAGATCAAAGACAACCATCTGAATCGCTTCCAGCTTCATGTCGATCCAGAAAGACAACATCGTTTGACTTCAAAAAGGGAAAGGTAAATGAAAAGGATGGAGTTGAGAGTTTCTCAGGAGGTGCCTGTGGAAAAACAAACTCCCTATAAGACTGCAAGCTCATGGCAACACTACATTCAATTGTTTTCACAGGTCTTTTTCAAAGAGCACAATAAAGCTGTAAGTGTGATGCTTTCCCTGACGAGTGCATTTCAAATTGTTCCATCAGTGCTGTGAAATGCAGGGGCAATTGCTCGACCCGGCAAAGCACCGCTCGACGCACTTATCAGCAAATGGCAAATAGCGCAAACAAGCGCAAGCTGAGAGATGCTATCATAACCCCGTGGAAACCTGGAAAATGCACTGCACTGTGTGACACGATTTAGATTTGCAGCGTTGCATCGCACGGATTAGCTGGCAGGCGGAGTGAAGATGTAAATATGGAATTATCAAGGATAACATTTTCCACTTGTTTAAACACATGGGAAGGTGGAAATTGTTGAGAACACACACACACACACATACATACATACATACATACATACATACTGTCTGTGTGTGTGTATATATATATATATATATATATATATATAAGTGCTGGGCAACAATTAAAATGTTTCATCGTGATTAATCGCATGATTGTCTGTGAATAATCGTGATTAATCGTGTTATGCACAAAATTCAATAATGCATTCAAAAGTAGTGTATTGTGCACTTTTTTCATTTAAAAGTACTGCTATATAAACAAAAGTGCAATAGCATTTGGTTTGCAAACACTTTAAACAAATAAGGTGCTTTTTACAGCAGTATTCCTTTTACATAGTAGCAGTTAAAATATTTATTGTAAATCTCAACTTATAACATTAATGTAATCAAATTAAATATAAAACAAGCTATTTGCCACTGCCAGGGCTTTAACGTTTTTATAGAAAATATTTTATCGTTTGTTATAGAAAAACAAGTTATGCTCAGAGTCTAGAGCCTCGATCATAACATTTTAACAGACACCTTAGAGACCTGCACGATCGTGGGGACCAACGCAGCAGAGTGCGGCATGGGACAACACTTGATGGGGGTGCGGGTGGGTAGACACTCGTGTGTGCGGGATGCGGGAGAATAATTAGGGTGTACTCACACTAGGCAATCTTAACCGTGCCCTAGTGCGTTTGACACCCCAGTGCACGGATAATAACGAGTTAACTTGCCCAGCCCTAATATATATATATCGGCATTTCTGTTCAAACACATAACCTCTGCATATGATTTTATATAACGTTAAGTACCTAACTCAAATGTACATCCTGTCATCATTTACTTAGGTTCTTAGATATTTTGTAGAATATGCATGCTCCTAATTTCCATATAAGGGCAAACACACACACACACACACACACACACAAAACATTATTATGTATATAGTATTATTAATATGTTTATATTGTTAGCTAATAGTACATACTGTATATCAAAAACATTTTCAATACTTGAAATAAAGGAACATTAACTGAAAATAAAACTTAATTTCAGCTTGTTGCCAAGGCATTATTTCATTTAGTTCAAGTTGAATTTCTAAAATAACTCAAACTAAATCCACCAAAGCTTAAGAAAGAGAGAGAGAGAGAGAGAGAGTAAAAAAACTAATACAAAAATGGTAAAAAAAAAAAGACAACAAAATAACTAATATGTGTTTAAAATGAGTTAATAATTAATATTTGTTCAAAATATTAAGAAAAATATAATAGTATATCAACCAACCAACAACACTGATTTTGTATGTTTTTTTTTTTTTTTTTCCAGTGTTTATTTTACATTTTATTTCATGTTACTTTATTTTATTTCATATTATTATTATTGTTTTTTAACAGTTTTAGTGTTAGTTTTAGGTAAGAACACACTACACACAAGTGTTGTGAAGTCTCATGATAGCTTTGAATTAATAAAAAGGCTGAATTTTAAGATACTATTTGCAAATAATCTGACAAATCTTATTCATGGTTCTGACACACACACACACACACAAAATGGATTAATGTCAATGCCACTAAGAAACAAAAGAGTTTTCCTTTATGGCTGAATTATTCATTTAATGTGACAACAAAAGGAAGCTTCTTTGTCATAGAGAGTCGAAGACCTCAAGGCCTTTCTCTCCACAGAGGATCCATCTCTCTGTTGCACCAAACATGCCCCTTCCATCCAAAGGGCTCTTTTATATCATTCATTAGTTTATGTCTGCCACAAAATATAACACCACAGGGCCTTTCATTTATTAATCTGGCACTCAGATCAACCCCATGGCGGGGCTGGATGGAGAAGCGTGCCAGCTGGGTCAGTCCGTGTCCAGGCCTCTGGCTGGGTTCACAATCTCCAGTGAACAAAACGAATCGGCTTGGAAGCTTTTGGACACTGTTGTGCTCAGTTAAATAAAATAAAATAATGAAACGAATGAATGAATGAATGGATGAATGAATGAATGAATGATGAATAAGTTTTAATAGAACATTAAAGTACTATGGTAACAAAGCTTGGGGGCCCATAAGATGTTTTTGTTGTTGTTGTTTTAAAAAAATTAATCAATAATCAATACTTTCATTAATCGAGGATGCATTAAATTGATCTGGTAATAATAAGAAATGCTTATTGTGCAGCAAATCAGCACATTAGAATTATTTCTGAAAAATCATTTGACACTTAAGACTGGAGTAATGATGCTGAAAATTCAGCTTTGATCACAGGAATATATATGGGGTACAACAGGGCTAAAGGCACACCTTAAGAAAAAATGTGCCATTCACTGTGCCTAAAATGTAAATATGCAGAAATAGAGTGAAACACAGCCTAATTTTTATTTTTGGGTGAACTAACCCTTTAAGTTAATACTTAGTTAATACAAAGTTGTACTATTTTCTGCTTATTTTGAAGAAAACTAAAATATTTCAATAAAATACTGTCATTAAAATATGTTAATATAAAAATATATTTAAAAATACAGAAACAAAATTATTTTAATAAGTAAAGATTCTGAAAGCACTGAAGGAGATCCAATAATAATTGAATATATATTTAGTAGTAACAACCAATGGTATTTTATTAAATGTTATGATTAATATCATGTTTTTAAATATGATGGTTTCATTCTAAACATGGTGATTATCTCTAATATAGACACCCAACATAATATATGATATTTACCATCTGAATCTAACCATGTCACGTCAACAAATGGAAAAGTCTGCCATCTATTAATTATCATGTTAATTACTGTGCGCCTTTAGCCCCAACAGCAGGGGCGCTTTTTACCCCAAATACCATACTTTTACATATTCTTTCATTATTTAAAAACTGTTCCTTTAATCATCTTAAACAAAACTGAAAATCATAAAGAAGACCTCTGTCTCAAAATACATGTATTAATTTTAGTGATTCTTATTTGCTACTTCAATCTACAACATTTTAAAAAACATAAAATATTAGATCAAGTAAGCACAGAATTAACTTTGCGCTGCTGCGCGCAATCGCGTCAAGGATCCGACAAAAATACACGTGCATCTTCAAAACCGGATGTTTTGGAAAGTGCTACGCCACGTTTTTGTGCCATCTAGTGTAAATTAAAATAATATTTCACAATATGTTACTGTATTTTTGATCAAATAAATACAGTCTTGGTGAGCAGAGGAGACTTCTTTCAAAACCATTCAACATTCTTACCGACCCCAAACTTCTGAATGGTAGTGCATAACAAAAAAAAGGGCAGTAAAAAGCTGTTAGTCTTCATTAAAATCAACACAAAGAGCTTGTAGTTGATGAAACACCCCTAAATGTACAGCACAGCTTCTCAAGAAATTTTGAAAAAACACTGAGAGATCCTGGTGTTCCCTAAATATCCTTAGCATAATCGTCCCCAAAAACCCATCAATCTTACCTGTAATAGTGGCTCTTTTTGGCAGGATGGTGACGGCACCAATAGCGGCGTCCTCGAGGCCTTGAATAGGGCTGTTCTTGGCTCCCCAGCTATCTGACCCGATCCATAGGAAATGGCCCACTTGATCGGCTCTTTTGCTGGCGTTAAGGATCCCCCTGCGAACATTCCCATACAGGAAACCATTACTGTGACATTGAGGCCCTCTGTGACTCTTCAACAGAGCAGGAGATGTGGGCCACCGACTGTAATAGCATCCAGATTGAATCGTCATTGTGTATGAAATACAAAAAAGCAATTTTCAATGGGTTTGCTTGAATGATGACATGTTGATGTCATTAATCAATACCCCAAGTGGCTGAGCTTATCCAGCAAACAAGATATAAACCCCTCAAGTGCACCCTTGAGTTTTATCTAAGTAATAGCGTGCAGGCCAGTAAGAGTATTGACTTGTTGTCATCGAGAACTGTTAGAACGGTTGTTATTTTTGGAGCTCAAAAGGGAGCAATTAATTGCTTGAAAATGAAATTTATCGTAGCTCTATCTTGCGATTTCCACTTCCTCTTCCTCTCCTGGCAATGTTGTCAACAGCTTACCGAATGTCTTCGTCGTAAGCGAAAATAATGACCGCCCGGGCATGACGGGTCTCCAGCAGCTGTCGGATAATCTTGTCAAAATCAGCCTGCTTGTGGTCGTGAGGGATCTTCAGGGACTGAGCGATGCAGATTCCACCTACAGAAAGAACAGAAAGAGATCCATGAGCGAAGCCGGTGACAGCAGAAAAAAAAAAAAAAGAAGAACTTTCCCCTAACGTTAGCATAAAGTTCCCGTTTGGTTGTGTTTGGAACTAAATAATAACATTCTAGGAACGTTCACTTTTTGTAACCAAAACTAACTTTTCTAGAACGTTGCTGGGAGTTTTTTGTGATCTACTGTAAAGACAACCTACAAATAATGTTCTCTAATGGTTATTTTTGGGGGTTTATTTTTATAATCATAAACCCTCACAGAACATTTTGGTGTGGTGTTTGTTTGTTTATTTATTAATTCATGTATGCACCCATCCATCCATCCATCCATCCATTCTTACATTCAAATCTAACTTTCCCTTATTTATTTATTTATTTATTATTTTATTTATTTATTTATTTATTTATTTGTGTGTGTGTGTGTGTGTGTGTGTGTGTGTGTTTATTTATTTATTTAGTGTTTATTTATTTTTGTGTTTATTTGTTTATTTATTCGTGACAAGCTAAAGAGAGCCTATGCAGAACATTTTCTAATGTTTTACATTTTTCTAACCATAAATTAATCTTGCGGGGAGGGTTGTTTGTTTGTTTGTTTTATTTATTTATTTACAAACTAAAGAGAGCCTATACATAATGTTTTTAATAGTTATTTTTAGAAATTTTTTAGAGGTTGTACCGATTGATTGATTTTATTTTATTCTATTCTATTTTTGGAGAAAACTTAATGATAATATATACAGAACATCCTCTGTTTTTTTTTTTTTTTTAGGTTTAATTTCTATAATTATAAAGTAACCTTTCATAGAACTTTGAAGGGGATTTATTTTCATGACAACCTAAGCATAACCTACACAGAACATTCTCTAATTCTATTTTTATAACCCTAAACCAACCTTTCCAGAATGTCACAAGGAGTTTTATATTTATAAATTGGGTCGTTGCCTATTCAAGACCCCTTTACGATTTCTTTCCTGCACAAGTGTGATGAATATCACATAGGAAAGTCCTGAACAGCAGTGCCAAGGAAAAGTGTTAGGATTAGTCTAAAGCCATCAACAGTTCTGCAGGTTTTGAACCAGATAGTAATGGAATATGTCACTCTCTTATACCAGCCTATTTTCAAGACATTCGCCCATTAGATATATAAAGATTCTACACGACAGACAAGCTTAGGAACAACAAAATTCAGTGCTGTTTGGTAAAGATGTAAGCGAAAGTGAAATACAGCTTCCTCTTATTATAGTTTGCAGGTTGGTGACGACTCCAAATCTCTCTGGTGATTTATGAGACGGTCAGCGTCGATATCTGAGTCTGTGCCCGCTGCCCTGGAGAGGAGCTTTTATGAGCGTGGCATCAGAAGATTGGAATTGTGATAAAAAAAAGGACAGACAAATGATGTAAACCCATGGCAGTTGCTTCAATACGCTGGCTTTTCTGGAAAGAGAGGTGCTGAACTTGGCATCGCTCCCCGTTTGTCTCGCTGAAATCCCACAGCCGTGCTCTTGTGTTCCTGTTCACTGCACAGTGTACTTAGCCATGGGAATTTTCCCCATTATCTGGAATATTCACTGGGGAAGCTCATACTGTTCTGTCATTCTGAGATAGATGAATTCCATGGAGCAGAATGAATGTCAGAATGGCGGTTGTTTATTGATTTTCAAATGCGCTTTGTTACACAAGTGCAAGAACACATGCTCAAATGCTAATGCTGTCTAGGTTTCCAACACACTGTTTTACTCACAAAATTCACCCTTGAATTCCTAAGGATTTTCAAATCAGTTCATGGGAATCATGAAAAAGAATGGTGAATCTGACAGATTCAGTGGCTAATTCCTTAGATTGATTCAAACTGACTAACTCAAGTGTATATGAATCTGTTTGATGGCCTGATTAAAAGTAGCAGCTAATATGAGTCATTTGTTCATGAATCAGACTTGACTGGTCTCGCAGTATGTTTCTTTTCAGTCAGCATTTCATTTATCATTCTGCCGCCTTTTTAACTCACTGCATTAAGACTTCTTTTTTTACATTGCAAGATTTCTTTATTATAAAATATGATTTTTTTTATATCTTTGTTTTGTGAATCAGTTTGTGCGAATCATGAGAAAGAACATCATTCACATCATTATTTTCTGTCAGTGTTTTATTTGGCATTCTCCTGTGTTTTTAACTCATTACATTAATTCTGACTGCAAATTTACAACTCGGGTAAAAAAAGATTAATTTTTGTATAAAATATTATTTCTTTATCTTTGTTTTGCAAATCATGACACTGACAGATTCAGTGACTGATTCAAACTTAAAACGATTCAAACTGACTAACTAATATGAATCTCTTTGAATGACTGATTCAAAGCAGCAGCTAATAACAGTCATTTGTTCATGAATCAGACTTTAACGGCCTTGTGATACGATTCTTTTCAGTCAACGTTTTATTTAACATTTTCTGCCTTTTTAACTAATTGCATTAAGACTTCTTTCTTTACATTGCAAGATTTATTTATTATAAAATATGATTTCTTTATCTTTGTTTTGTAAATCATTTAATGTGAATCATGAAAAAGAACAATGACACTGACAGATTCAGTGACTGATTCAAACTTAAAATGATTCAAACTAACTCATCTGAATCTCTTTGAAGGACTGATTCAAAGCAGCAGCTAATAAGAGTCGTTTGTTCATGAATCAGACAATAACGGCCTTGTGATATGATTATTTTCAGTCAACCTTTTATTTAACATTTCCCCGCCTTTTTACCTCATTACATAACTTCAGACTACAAATTTACAACTTAGTAAAAACAGGATTTCTTTATCATAAAATATGATATTTTTATCTTTGTTTTGCAAATCGGTTTGTGTGAATCATGAGAAAGAACAGTGACACAGACAGATTCAGTGACTGATTCATTAGAATGATTCAAACAAACTCTGGAGTACATGATTCCTCTTGACCATTTTACAAATTCAGCAATTCAATATGAATAACAAATTCAATCCCAAAAACAAAATTCGGTAACACTTTATTTTAAAGTCTCTTAACTAGTTGCTTATTAGCATGCATATTACTAGAATTTTAGCCATTTATTAGTACTAATTAAGCACAAATTAATGCCTTATTCTACATGACCTTATTCTACATCCCTAATTCTACCTACCTAAACTTAACAACTAACTTACTAACTATTAATAAGCAGCAAATTAGGAATTTATTGAGGGAAAAGTCGTAGTTAATAGTGAATAAGTGTTCCCTATTCTAAAGTGTTACCCAAAATTCAATTGAATAGAAATTAGTAACACCGTACTAAATTCAGTTAGATTACAACAATTTTATACACTGACACAACTAAAACACACTTGCTACGAGTGTCACTGAGGAAACTTCATGGCATGATGGATAAGTAATTTCCTGATGTACTGTACCATCAGATTAAACCACTACACCTTGAAAGGAAGTCCAAAATCTGAACCTTTCCGGCCTTTCGATTTGAGTTAATGCGATTTAATTGATCTGTCAACTAATGTTAACTGACCAATCAGGATCTTCCAGAAGCATGCCACCAAGTGGCAGGAGTCGCGGTAAATTGACATGGACAGGCCCTGCAGACACCAATTATAATTAAATCCCTCTTAGCCATGGGTTTCAACCCCAACACGCCTCGGAAAGTACACAATGCATGCTGACAATGTATGCGGCATGAATCAGCAAAGCGGATACAGACTGTATTTTCCCTATACAGCATGCCGTGAAATCTCGGAAATGTAATCCAGCCCTTGTTTACGTCTCTCTTTGTCTTTTGTAAGACGCTGCTCACAAACGCTGGCGTTCTTCTGAGTCAAGATGTTTTAAAGTGTGTTGGTATGCATCATTGTTAAACCTCTGCAGATCTCAGTCACTAATTACAGTCTTAAAATATCCCTTTAGGCAGTTTCAAAACTCACATTCCTGTTACTTAAACACAAACTCTATTGAACCCTGAATTCAAATGCCTTTATTTGTATGTACGTGTGGAAGATGCTTGAATTTAAAGTGATTTACTGTACAGTGCATTCAAGCTCTACATTAGATCATATTTGCAAACACGTGAACTTTGCTTTGCAAGCTCTGTGTGTTTCTGTGCTGACGCTGAAGGGGAAAACAACAGCTGTAGGATACTGTGAAATGTTTTAAACATGGTAAAATGTGTGAAAGCTGCAGTAATAATAATAATAATAATAATAATAATAATAATAATTCCTTTTTTTAAATTAATTTAAAAAAATGATTGAAGTCGTGCCAAAGAAAACCCTTTAACTGTGGTAAATTCTAAGATTTCAAAAATCCTCTTAAATGGCTTAAAACTTTTATTTTTATTATTATTATTATTAGCAGTAGTAGTAAAAAATATATATTTTTTTTAAATATCATCATCATTTTCATCATTTCCAGTAACTGAAATAAAGCTGAAATAAAATAAAAAATATTTGATGAAAGTTTTAAATGAAAAAAGTTGCTTTGTCAGCTAACTAAAATAAATAAGTGTAAACTGAAGTATTAAAATAATAATAATAATAATAATAATTAATTAATTAATATAATTCATGATTAAATGTTAGTAGTAGTAGTAAAATTTTATTAATAATTAAAATAATAATAATAATAAATATAATGAATGATTAAATGCTATTAATAGTAGTAGTAGTAAAATTAACTGATTTAATAATAATACTACTAATAATAATGTAAACTCAAATAAATAAGTGAAAGTTGAAGTATTAAAATAACTGAATCAAAAACAGCAAATAATAAATGAAAACCAAACAAAAATATAAAAAAAATTTGATGACATGAGAAACCAAATTTGCCTTGATCTTCTGGCATATAAGAGGTCTTTGTACCATTAAAACATCCTGCAAGTTTCATAGCTTAAGACGTCCTCCCCATTATAAACGAAGCATTTATTTAATCAAGCTCCAAATACGGCTCGTTGTGGATCCTATGGGG